GCAGGAGGATATTAACTTTTACAGCAGCTCCCTGAAAAACAATCTCGCTATTGTCAGCTTGACTCTCCTGTCCCTCTGCCCCTCACAGGGTGGGGGATGCAAAAAATACCTCACAATGAACATCTTCCCATCATTCTTGTCAGCTAACGCATAACCAAGTCCAGTTATGTTGCCCCGCAAGTAAATCAATTCCAATGAACTGGCAAAAAATCCCACTGGTACACTGCATTATGCAGTTGTTACCTTAAGGAGCAGTGTTGGTTAAGTTACTCTAAAAAAGTAAATAATTACTAACTACTAATTACATCTTCAACAGTATAATTAGATTACTGTACTAATTACTCTCTATAAAAAAGTATTGGATTATTACTAATTCTAAATCTCAATCAGTTGAACAATACAAGGATAAACATGAAACCACTCTTAATTCTTTCATATAAATAATAAAAAATCTGCATAAATAATTCTTGAACTGACCAAAATATTAACAGTTACATTAAAAACATACAGTTTAACATTAGATGTTACATTTTAATGTTAAATCCACTATCATTTATATAGAATTGTTCTAGTCTATACACTTTTAATGAAATTACATCAGAAGTAACTGTAATTACATTACAGAAAAAGTTTAAGAGTAATCCCTTACTTTACTTTTTCAAGGAAAATATAATTAAATTACAGTAATTTATTACTTAGTGATGCATTAAACCCAACACTGTTAAGGAGTTAGTTCTATCTACAACAAAGTAAGGTTGGTTTAGTCATTTTAAACAATATTTTTGACATGGGACAGAAACCAAACAGATCCAACTTTTAGTCCTGAGAACCAGCAGTTAAAATCCAAAAAACGTAAATATCCAACACATATGACACTGGTTTAGTGATAATTGATTAGTTAACTGCTAACCAAAAATTAAAGTGTCCTCCTGTTACAATACAACAAGTGCAATTTAAGTCACATGATCCACATCTAGTTGACACAGGCCCAAAACATCTAACTAGTTGTAGAACTAACCAATTAGTTAACTAGTCAACACAACCCCTACTAACCAGGAAGCCAAATCTTCCATCACCTGCCACAATATAGAACAAGCACAACTTAAATCACATGGTCCTCAACTAGTCAGCACAGGCTAAAACATCTAACAGTGGTAGCGTTAACCAATTAGTTAACTAGCAACTATTTAATAACCAAAAACCTGAAAATTCTTCCAGTTGCCAAGCCTGCCACCATATAGAACAAACATAACTTGAGTCAAGTGAATTGCAGCTAGTCAATACAAGCCCAAAATCTCTAACCAGTGGCGGAACTAACCAATTAGTTAACTAGTCTGTGCATCCCCTGCAAACCAGGAAATTGAATCTTCCTCCAACTGTCACAATACAGAAGCACAACTAAAATCACATGGTCCACAACTACTCAACAAAGGCTAAAAACATCAAATAGTCACAGAACTAATTGATTAGTTAACTAATCGGTGCAACAACTTACTAACCAAACAACTGATGCTTCTTCCAGCTGCCATGTAACCTAACCTCAAGAGTGATGTCGTCATATTAAACAATATTTTTGACATGGGACATGAAAACTAGAAGTTGAAATACAGTAACCTTAAATAACCTATATATATGACATTGGTTTAGTGCTAATCAATTAGTTAACTACTAACCAAGAATTAGAATATTCCTTCTGCTGTCTCCACATAACAAGCACAATTTAAGTCACATGATCCACAGTCAGTTGACTCAGGCACAAAACATCTAACCAGTGGTAGAGCTAACCAATTAGTTAACTAGTCGATGCATCCCCTACTAACCAGGAAACTGATATTTCTTCCAGCTACTGCTACTGTGTAACCTAACATAGTCGGGTTGATTTAGTCATGTGAAACAATACTTTTGTCATGGGAAAGAAACCAAAGAGATGCAACTTTGGATCCAGAAAATCAGCAGTTAAAATTGAATAAACTTAAATAACCAACTCATATGACACTGGTTTAGTGCTTTACACACCCACCATAAATTACATTGCATGATTATTAGATGACAGCCAGAACATTTCTAAAGCATTAAGAGGCACTAAAGCTTCAGGGAGAGTTGTATGCACATGTCAAAACCACCGATGACTTTAGAGGAATTCACTCTGAGGTAGTTTACACAAACTGTGGTTTAGTTACTAAATGCAATATGATTAGGCCTGCTAGTTCCATCACATTGCCCAATATCATCTATTCTAAACTATGACGAAACTGTATCGGGTCTCACGCACTACATAAATTGTGAGAAGGACAAAAGGCCGGCACTTCTACAACAGACCGTTCAGCGGGCTTCACGAGCGGTCCGTGGGGCCCGGTTACAGCCGAACAAAAGAGCGGGAGCGGATCACATCCCTCTCACAGGCTCGGCTGAAACGTTATCCCCGCGCCGCTGGCCATGACCTCACCGTGTTGTTTTTCCCGTGGCGCACGCAACTCGAGCCGGGCGCAAGCTACAGGACTCTGCTGCTTCAAGCAATATCTAATGCCAAGCAATGTCAAGTACAAATCTGTTTCTGTTTGTTTACACTACCATCCGCTGAGTCAAGACTATAGTAATAGGTTTGAAATGGTGACTGAAATTGTGTCAATAGCTTTAGATAAAACAACATGATGGTAAATCTGTTCTGTGAATGTAATCAAAATATAGAATTATTGATTAGTTGGTAAAATCAGTCAGTTAGGTTCAAAGTCATTTGCGTAATTAATTAATCATTACATCTCATGTTCTGTTGAGATTGACTTTACTGTCTTTATGGGGTCCCATCAACCCTGCTAACATATGGATTAAAATAAGAGGCTAATAGCAATGTAAACTTTTACATTCAAAGTTCTGTTTATAATCAGAAAATGTTATGAAAAGTCATGAATATCTGACTATCATCTTAATGTTAAGTATGAACTGCCTATCAAAACTTTGGGATCAGTAAGGTTTTAAATGTTTTTAAAGTGCCTTATGCTCACCAAGGCTGCATTTATTTGATCAAAGATACAGTGAAAGCAATAATATTGTGAAATATTATTGCAATTTCAAATAACTGTTTACTATTTGAATATATTTATATATTATTTCTTTGATGGCAAGCTGAATTTTCAGCATCATTACTCCAGTCTTCAGTGTCCTTCAGAAATCATTCTCAAATGCTGATTTATTATTATTATTAATGCT